ACTTAGGGCCACAGAAACGTTACTTAGGGCCACAGAATTGTTACTCAGGGACAGACACAGAATTGTTACTGAGGGATACAGAATTGTTACTGAGGGACACAGAACCGTTACTTAGGGCCACAGAAACGTTACTTAGGGCCACAGAATTGTTACTTAGGACAGACACAGAATTGTTACCGAGGGACACAGATTTGTTACTGAGGGCCACAGAAACGTTACTTATGGCCACAGAAACGTTACTTAGGGCCACAGAATCGTTACTTAGGACCACAGAAACGTTACTTAGGGCCACAGAAACTTTACTTAGGGCCACAGAATTGTTACTTAGGGACACAGAATTGTTACTCAGGGACAGACACAGAATTGTTACTGAGGGATACAGAATTGTTACTGAGGGACACAGAAACGTTACTTAGGGCCACAGAAACGTTACTTAGGGCCACCGAAACGTTACTTAGGGCCACAGAATTGTTACTTAGGGACAGACACAGAATTGTTACTGAGGGACACAGAATTGTTACTGAGGGCCACAGAAACCGTTACTTAGGGCCACAGAAACGTTACTTAGGGACACAGAATTGTTACTCAGGGACAGACACAGAATTGTTACTGAGGGACACAGAAATGTTACTGTGGGCCACAGAACTGTTACTGAGGGCCACAGAACTGTTACTTAGGGCCACAGAAACGTTACTTAGGGCCACAGAAATGTTACTTAGGGCTACAGAAACGTTACTTAGGGCCACAGAATCGTTACTTAGGGCCACAGATCGTTACTTAGGGCCACAGAAACGTTACTTTAGGGACACAGAAACGTTACTTAGGGACACAGAATTGTTACTCAGGGACAGACACAGAATTGTTACTGAGGGACACAGATTTGTTACTGAGGGCCACAGAACCGTTACTTAGGGCCACAGAAAACGTTACTTAGGGACACAGAATTGTTATTCAGGGACAGACACAGAATTGTTACTCAGGGACACAGAATTGTTACTGAGGGACACAGAATTGTTACTCAGGGACACAGAATTGTTACTAGGGACACAGAATTGTTACTCAGGGACACAGAATTGTTTACTGAGGGACACAGAATTGTTACTCAGGGACACAGAATTGTTACTCAGGGACAGACACAGAATTGTTACTCAGGGACAGACACAGAATTGATACTGAGGGACACAGAATTGTTACTGAGGGCCACAGAACTGTTACTTAGGGCCAGAGAAACGTTACTCAGAGACACAGAATTGTTACTCAGGGACAGACACAGAATTGTTACTCAGGGACAGACACAGAATTTGTTACTGAGGGACACAGAATTGTTACTGAGGGACACAGAATTGTTACTGAGGGCCACAGAACTGTTACTTAGGGCCACAGAAACGTTACTCAGGGACACAGAATTGTTACTCAGGGACAGACACAGAATTGTTACTCAGGGACACAGAATCGTTTAATTAAAGAGTAATGTCAGACAACATGCAGAGGAGTGGCAGAGGAGGCAATGTTTTTAGGAGGAGCGAGCAGACGTTGGCAGCAGAGGAAGGGGTCGAGGCAGCACTATTCGCAGCCAGAGGCCAGTGAAGTAGGCTCCCGGTGTCATCCCAGCAGTCGTGTCTCCACCGACAACCCTGCCGTCATCGATTGGTTGAGGGCTCGGTCGTCTTCCTCTTCCCAGGTCACCTCTCTGGACACCTACAGCCAACGGTCGGTGGGTACGTCAGACACACAACCGTTAGTTGGCATGGCCCGGGAGCAAGCCCACTGAAATCACGTGTCCTCTACCTGCCCCTGTCCTTTGGTGTTCCCTCACCAAGCGAAGTATCGCATGCTGTGGGCTCAGCCCCACTGTACAGTGAGGAAGAGCTAACAGAGGGCGGTCAAGAACGGGGGGAGACATCCGCCTCTTCAGCAGCCAGGCGAAGAAGTAGTAGCGAGGAGAGTGGCTTGGTAGCCGGTCTAGAGACAGGTCTGTCTCCTGACCCACACGCAGCCGAGGGGGCTAGTAGTGAGGCGGAGACCCTAATTGATGATGATGAGGCTGATCGCACTTGGCAGCCTCGTCGTCATCAGGCTATTGCTTCCGCATCATCATCAGAAGAGGGTGGCAGCTTGGCAGCGAGCAAAACAGTCGGTGGGTTGCCCAGGAGGCAGCAGGGTCGCAGCAGTGTCAGTGGAGGCAAAACGGCCACGGAGTACAGCACCAGCTCCACTGCAGCCTACCACCACGGCCATGTGGTGGGACACGGTGTGCACGGAGGAAGCAGCAGTCAGCCAGTGAGGAGTATCGGGGGCAAAGTTTCCTACTCGGCGGTGTGGCAATTTTTTGTCAAGCCGCCCGAGGAAGTAAAAACGTAGCTGTATGTCGACTATGTGGCCAGAAAGTCAAGCGTGGCCAGGGGGCCCATGTTGGGACTACAGCGTTGCGGCAGCATATGCAGCGTCGCCATTTGGTGGCCTGGGAAAACCGTGATAAAGATACGGCGGTTCTGCCCGCCCCAGCCCCCGCTCCATCACCCTCTCCGTTACTTGCTCCGTCACCCGACGTCAATCGCCCTCTATCAGCCCGTCAAGGCTCCAACACCTCTGCTGAGGGGAGTTGTCGCTCGTTGCCATCTTCCGCTCGTTCAGATGCTCCTTCTCCTGCTACTCCTCTTCACGGATTCCGTCAGCAGTCTTTCTTGGAATCCGTTTCCAAGAGACAACAGTTTGCGAGCACGCACCCGACGGTGCAAAAGCTGAACGTTCCCTCCTCTCCAAGTTGCTGGTGCTGCAGTCCCTCCCTTTCCAAGTGGTGGACTCAGCACCTTTCCGAGAAATGATGGCTTGTGCCGCGCCGCGGTGGAGAGTCATTTCTTCGCCAAAAAGGCAGTGCCAGCCCTGCATTCACATGTAGAAGAGATGGTGGGCCAGTCTTTGAGCATGTCGGTCTCTGCCAAAGTGCACGGCAGCGCCGACGTGTGGAGCTGTAACTATGGTCAGGGACAGTACATGTCATTTACGGCCCACTGGGGTGAACGTGGTGCCGTCACAGCCGCACCAGCAACTTGGACAGGTCACGCCGCTTTTGCCTCCACGTTTGCACGTCCTTGGTCCACAAAAGATGTCCGCCTCTACCACCTCTTCTTCCGCCGTGTCCTCAGCCGCCACCCCCGTGCCAAGTCCCATTCCCCATTACCCGACCGGCATATCACATGTGCAGGGCGCAACGGTGTCACGCTGTGCTGCACCTGGTATGCCTTGGCGAACGTAGTCCACACAGGGGAGGAACTTCTCAGTGTAATGAACAGAGAAATCGACAGATGGCTGTCTCCGCGCAAACTGAAAATCGGAACCATGTTGACCGACAACGGAAAGAGCATGGTGTCTGCTCTGCGTCAAGGAAGGTTGTGCCATGCGCCATGCATGGCTCACGTGTTCAATCTGGTTGTCAAGCGGTTCCTAAAAATCCACCATCCCACTGCAAGACATCCTTTTAAAATGTAAATGTAAACTTTGCATGCATTTTCAGCCATTCCTACACCGCAAAGCTCACCCTCCTTGAGCTGCAGCGGCAGAACGGAATTCCACAGCATCGCCTGATCTGCGACGTTGCAACAAGGTGGAATTCAACCCTACACATGTTAGACTGCCTTTTATGAACAGCGAAAGGCCATCACCGATTTCCTGATGTTACAAGCGGATAAAGGTACTCCCCTGTGTAACTTCGATGTCAGCCATTGGCAGCTCATGCGTGACACCTGCCGCTTGCTCAGGCCCTTTGAGGAGGCCACGCTATTCGTGAGTCGGCAGGACTATGGATGAACGACGTCATTCCTCTGTTGCACGTACTGGAACAAATGCTGTTAACAATGGCTGGTCAGGGTGCGGTAGACGTGGCGCACAGATCTCAACGCCACATGACCCCTGTGGGGGCAGGACAGGGGGAAGAGGAGGAGGTAGAGGAGGACATTTGTGCTCAGGAATTATTGAGTGAAATGGGTGGTTTTTTCCACTCAGCGGACAGGAGTGGAGGAGCAGGAGCATCTGGTAGAGGAGGAAGAGGAGACAGAAGACCCAGACGCACCGTGGCAGTATGCTGTGGAGATGGAGGCAGGGAGTCCCTCGCATTCCTTGGCACAAATGGCCCATAGCATGCTCGCTTGCTTGCGTACCGACAGCCGAATAATAACCATCAGACAGAGGGATGACTTTTGGCTGTCCACCTTGTTGGACCCTCGCTACCGTTCAAAAATGGTGGCCTTTTTCACACCTGCTGAGAGGGAGGCCAAAATAACGTACTATAAAAACCACCCTATGTAGTCAGTTTGGTCTCTGCCTTTGTGCGCCAACGTCCATCCTCAGACACTGTGGGCCCTGTGCGCTCGCGTTCCGCTGCCATGGCAGCAGGGGAGGGGTGGGGTGGTAGGAGCAGTGGTAGCTCCACCAGCAGCGGCTGCCTCAGTCTGCAGTCGATGATGAGTAGCTTTCTTCACCAGCGCAGTGAGGAAACTACTAACCAGCCGCAGCAGCATCAGGTGGACCTGGAGCAGGACCTCAAAAACAACAGGCTTGGGCCTACTTGGACAGCACCCTGCCAACCGAGGTAGACAATCCCCTTGACTACTGGGCAACGAAACTTGACCTTTGGCCCCAACTAGCTGAATTTGCCCTTGAAAGGCTGTCATGCCCGGCCAGTAGCGTGGCATCGGAGCGCGTGTTTAGTGCGGCAGGAGGTATTGTAACTCCGCGGAGGACACGACTGTCCACCCCAAAGTGTGGAGAGACTCACGTTTGTGAAAATGAATCAGGCGTGGATTAGTCTGGATTTCAAACCACCAGTTCCTGACACAACTGACTAAATCCGCCATGAATCATGCCCCCTGCCATGTGCCACTTTCAGGTCTCCTCACACACTGCTGGTGTGTTCAATTTTTTGACATAGGGTGCTGGCAGATTACGGGCCTCCCATAGCTGCTGCCAGGCCCTAATCTGCCATGGGCCCCTATACCGCCTCCTCATGCTGCTGCCAGGTCCAGAGTCTCTCATGGGTCCCTGTACGGCCTCCCATTGCTGCTGTCTCCATCGCCACACTCTGCCATGTGCCACTTTCAGGTCTCCTCACACACTGCTGGTGTGTTCAATTTTTTGACATAGGGTGTTGGCAGATTACGGGCCTCCCATAGCTGCTGCCAGGCCCCTAATCTGCCATGGGCCCCTATACCACCTCCTCATGCTGCTGCCAGGTCCACAGTGTCTCATGCCATGTGCCACTTTCAGGTCTCCTCACACTGCTGGTGTGTTCAATTTTTTGACATAGGATGCTGGCAGATTACGGGCCTCCCATAGCTGCTGCCAGGCCCCTAATCTGCCATGGGCCCCTATACGCGCCTCCTCATGCTGCTGCCAGTCCAGAATCTCTCATGGGTCCCTGTACGGCCTCCCATTGCTGCTGTGTCCATCGCCACACTCTGCCATGTGCCACTTTCAGGTCTCCTCACACACTGCTGGTGTGTTCAATTTTTTGACATAGGGTGCTGGCAGATTATGGGCCTCCATAGCTGCTGCCAGGCCCCTAATCTGCCATGGGCCCCTGTACCGCCTCCTCATGCTGCTGCCAGGTCCACAGTGTCTCATGCCATGTGCCACTTTCAGGTCTCCTCACACTGCTGGTGTGTTCAATTTTTTGACATAGGGTGCTGGCAGATTACGGGCCTCCCATAGCTGCTGCCAGGCCCCTAATCTGCCATGGGCCCCTATACCGCCTCCTCATGCTGCTGCCAAGTCCAGAGTCTGTCATGGGTCCCTGTACGGCCTCCCATTGCTGCTGTCTCCATCGCCACACTCTGCCATGTGCCACTTTCAGGTCTCCTCACACACTGCTGGTGTGTTCAATTTTTTGACATAGGGTGCTGGCAGATTACGGGCCTCTGCCCATAGCTGCTGCCAGGCCCCTAATCTGCCATGGGCCCCTGTACCGCCTCCTCATGCTGCTGCCAGGTCCACAGTGTCTCATGCCATGTGCCACTTTCAGGTCTCCTCACACACTGCTGGTGTGTTCAATTTTTTGACATAGGGTGCTGGCAGATTACGGGCCTCCCATAGCTGCTGCCAGGCCCCTAATCTGCCATGGGCCCCTATACCGCCTCCTCATGCTGCTGCCAAGTCCAGAGTCTCCCATGGGTCCCTGTACGGCCTCCCATTGCTGCTGTGTCCATCGCCACACTCTGCCATGTGCCACTTTCAGGTCTCCTCACACACTGCTGGTGTGTTCAATTTTTTGACATAGGGTGCTGGCAGATTACGGGCCTCCCATAGCTGCTGCCAGGCCCCTAATCTGCCATTGGGCCCCTGTACCGCCTCCTCATGCTGCTGCCAGGTCCACAGTGTCTCATGCCATGTGCCACTTTCAGGTCTCCTCACACTGCTGGTGTGTTCAATTTTTTGACATAGGGTGCTGGCAGATTACGGGCCTCCCATAGCTGCTGCCAGGCCCCTAATCTGCCATGGGCCCCTATACCGCCTCCTCATGCTGCTGCCAGGTCCAGAGTCTCTCATGGGTCCCTGTACGGCCTCCCATTGCTGCTGTCTCCATCGCCACACTCTGCCATGTGCCACTTTCAGGTCTCCTCACACTGCTGGTGTGTTCAATTTTTTGTCATAGGGTGCTGGCAGATTACGGGCCTCCCATAGCTTCTGCCAGGCCCCTAATCTGCCATGGGCCCCCGTACCGACTCCTCATGCTGCTGCCAGGCCCCTAATCTGTCATGGGCCCCTGTACCGCCTCCTCATGCTGCTGCCAGGTCCAGAGTCTCTCATGGGTCCCTGTACGGCCTCCCATTTGCTGCTGTCTCCATCGCCACACTCTGCCATGTGCCACTTTCAGGTCTCCTCACACTGCTGGTGTGTTCCATTTTTTGTCATAGGGTGCTGGCAGATTACGGGCCTCCCATAGCTTCTGCCAGGCCCCTAATCTGCCATGGGGCCCCGTACCGACTCCTCATGCTGCTGCCAGGCCCGTAATCTGTCATGGGCCCCTGTACCGCTCCTCATGCTGCTGCCAGGTCCAGAGTGTGTCATGGGTCCCTGTACGGCCTCCCATTGCTGCTGTCTCCATCGCCACACTCTTCCATGTGCCACTTTCAGGTCTCCTCACACTGCTGGTGGTTTCCATTTTCGTCATAGGGTGCTGTATGGCCTCCCATTGCTGCTGCCTCCCACCGCCACACTGTGGCTCCACACTCTGGTTTTGGCCCCGTGACTGCCCAAATGAGTGAAGTGTGCGGTGATTCTAAGATCGACGGCACTCATCTGCATGTCATATTGACTGTCAGTATTATTTCTCTTCCCCAGCAGACTCCAAGGGCATTTAAATTAAAAGGTACAGTGTTCTGCACTAATATAAAGGCTCTCTGAAGCCTAGAAAACCTTTTATAAGTTAAATTCGCAGCGAATATATTCGACTCAAATCGAAATTTTTCCACGAATTCGCCGAATCAGTCGAATCGAATTTTTGAATACTTCGCTCATCTCTACCGGTGATCTTTGACTTCTCCCATGTTGTTCAGGTAGATGTCCACCTATTTAAGGTTGCCTACCCCTGATCTAAAACTAATTTATATTAGTATATATATAAATATATAAGTATATATATTGTGTGTAGTATGTATTTATATTACAGTCATGGCCGAAAATTGTTGGCACCCTTGATATTTTTCCTGAAAATCAAGTATTTCACACAAAAAAGGTATTGCATTAACACATGTTTTGCTATACACATGTTTATTCCCTTTGTATGTATTGGAACAAATATAAAAACAGAGGCAGAAAAGCAAATATGACATAATGTCACACAAAACCCCAAAAAATGGGCTGGACAAAAGTATTGGCACCCTTAACTTAATATTTGGTTGCACACCCTTTGGGAAAACATAACTGAAATCAGTCGCTTCCTATAACCATCAATAAGCTTCTGACACCTCTCATGTCCCGGAATTTTGGACCACTCTTCCTTTGCAAACAGCTCCAGGTCTCTCTTATTGGAAGGACACCTTTTCCCAACAGCAATTTTAAGATCTCTCCACAGGTGTGTTCAATGGGATTTAGATCTGGGCTCATTGCTGGCCACTTCAGAACTCTCCAGCGCTTCTTTGCCATCCATTTCTGAGTGCTTTTTGACGTATGTTTGGGGTCATTGTCTGCTGGAAGACCCAGGATCTTGGACGCAAACCAGCTTTCTGACACTGGGCCCTACAGTGCGACCCAAAATCCTTTGGTAATCCTCAGATTTCATGATGCCTTGCACACAGTCAAGGCACCCAGTGCCAGAGGCAGCAAAAACAACCCAAAACATCATTGAACCTCCACCATATTTTACCGTAGGTACTGTGTTTTGTTCTTTGTAGGCCTCATTCCGTTTTCGGTAAACAGTAGAATGATGTGCTTTACCGAAAAGCTCTATCTTGGTCTCATCTGTCCACAAGGACGACCTTTCCCAGAAGGCTTTTGGCTTACTCAAGTACATTTTGGCAAACTGTAGTCTTGCTTTTTTATGTCTCTGTGTCAGCAGTGGGGTCCTCCTGGGTCTCCTGCCATAGCGTTTCATTTCATTTAAATGTCGACGGATAGTTCGCGCTGACACTGATGCTCCCTGAGCCTGCAGGACAGCTTGAATGTCTTTGGAACATGTTTGGGGCTGCTTATCCACCATCCGGACTATTCTGCGTTGCAATCTTTCATCAATTTTCCTCATCCGTCCACGACCAGGCGGGGGAGATTAGCTACAGTGCCATGGGTTGCAAACTTCTTGATAATGTTGCGCACTGTGGACAAAGGCAAATCTAGTTCTCTGGAGATGGACTTGTAACCTTGAGATTGTTGATATTTTGCCACAATTTTTGGTTCTCAGGTCCTCAGACAGTTCTCGTCTCCTCTTTCTGTTGTCCATGCTTAGGGGGGGGGGGGGGGGGGGGGGGGGGGGGTGGGGGGGGGGAGTATGGGTGTGGTTTGTGGTGTTTTGTACTTGCTGCTTGATCCTGACACTGCAATCTAATATTAATTCTAAGTCATTGTGAGCTTGTTGTTACCTATTGAGCTATTCTTGTATGTTTACTACACAAGCCCCATATTATCTTATTATTTCTCATGTCACGGGGCTGCAGGATCTTGCTGAGCTCACTTTCCTCTGGACCACCGGAGCTCTTTTCAATTACATGCATTGGTGAATGGTGGGCACTCTCAACTAGGCTCCTTAATTTTCCTCTGTTATGTTGTACTTGAACTGCTTGGAATGTGCAGTAATCTATTGATATACTATGATCCGAGTACCGTGTTAACCTACGGCTTGGCAAAATAATCAATCAATAAATGAAAGTGAAAAAGTAAAAAATCCAATACTCACTGATATCCACACCTTATATCTTAAAACC